GCCAACATGGCTGGCTGGGGAATTCTGGGAATTGGAGTCCACCCAACTGAAAGCTGCCAAGGTTGAGGAACACTGTCCTAGGGGAAGGGACAGGAATGAAGTAATGACTCTTGGTGTACTTCCCTGGGATGATATAAAACTCTGCTTTTCTGTGGAGTTGTTTGCATTTATGAATCAAACTCACACACAAACAGCCAGCTTGGGAAGACCTGTATTACTTATCTGCCTGCAAAATTTTTTTGTTTGCATTCAAGACTGCATTAATGGGGGTGGGGGGCAATATCAGCTTAGAATATCAGGCTTTGAAGGTTCATGCAAATTTAATAACAGCCCTCAAAATAGATTAATATTTCAGACCCCCACATACATACGAGCACACACTTGGTAAATAATTATTGCTCTGTCTAAGTAGAGAGAGCAATAATTCATAAAGGACGAATGCCATCAGTATGATGAAAAATCACGGATCAGAATTATCCTTTTCTTTAACGTTGTCCTTAAAGATGTTCATCCAAAACCTGAAAACGAATTCTTCTAAATAACTCTTAAAAGAACTGAGGCCGTTGTTGGACGGACATTAGTTTCAGGTACTAATGTCTGGAACCTTTAAAGTGCTTCTTTTACTGACTTTCCACTTTGCTCCTGTACCACATCCTGTGTAGCAAATCTTCATTCCAACATGGTGTGTTGTCCCTAAAGTCCCTTTCATTGGAGGTAGTGAGTTGTCATGAACAGACCACTGGCTGTCTGCGAATCCATGGGGAATGCTCTGGAAGAGAGAATGTAAAACGTTACTTAATTGGATGAAGATGATCAACATTCCTTAAGCTTCAAAAATGCTCCTATTCAAATTCAGACTATTACACTCATCACATTCAGCCATCATTTGTGGATCATGAATGATAGATGACATGATTGTTTGTTAAACCACCTAGCTATTTTTTAAATGCTTCTTCTGGTCTTTTTAAGTTTTGCTTTGAGTAGAAAGGGAGGATATAAATTAATAAAGAATTAAATACTTTTGGGAACAAGAGCAGTTTCTTTTCCTTTGTTCTCAATATCATTGTGATAGAATGATTAATTTACAAACAATGGGACAGAAGTCATTGCCGCTAAATTTTTACCAGCAGGTTTTTATTTTACAGTCTAAGTAATATCATTTACATAGCCAAACCTCTCTGGCTTCCCTTTTCCCCAATACGCTTTTTTTAAAAGCATGCCCCAAATAATCATTTTATTGTTTTTTAAAATTATTATTATTAGCTGTTTGGGAACCTATTTTGGGTCAGAAAGGTAAAATTTTAATTTTATTTAATTTAATAGAAATCTATATATGTAAGCAGCCTAATTCCACTTGTGTTTTTCTCCCAGAAGTGGCTGTTCACTGGGATAATTTGAAGCGGAGAATCATCCTCCTTCATTACTTTTTCCTTTGCAAACTGCCCACTGACAAAGTAGCTTCTTGGAGAAGAAAGATGGTTGGAATTGGGTTATATTTATATTTATATTATGAAGAAAATGAAGAAAATATATCTTGGGGTGAATCTTTGGGTAAAAGAAGCAAGTTTTTAGAGGTCTCAGATGAATGGGATTGCCTTAATAAAATTGAAACGTAAAGGAATGTGCAGCACCCTTGAAGCTGGTATGAACTAGGCTGATTGTAAACCCCTTATCACAAACATCCCCATAGCAACGTAAGAGAGGATGCCTTCTTCCTGGCAGTTGGCACCTTGAACCAATTTGAACCAATAACACTATTGCTTTCCTTATAGATAGCAGTTGTTCCGTCCTTGTAGATAGCAGACAAGAACAGGGACAGACAGTAACTTGAGAAGCGTTGCGCATTTAGGTATGCCTGCATCATCAAATGAATATGTATACGTATGCGTTCTTTTCCCTTCCCCTTTCTTGTAGACCTGTATAAATATCAGGGCACCCATTTTGCCTTTAGGGGAGTATCTCCCACTAACCTTTGGTGGGGTCCCCCTGCAGTACGTACTGCTCAATAAACACTGCAGTGAAGCCTTGATTATTTTGCATTTTGATTCCACAATCAAAAATAGCGCTTGTGACAATTAACAGCAATAAAATATTTTTAATTTATTTGTTTGTGAGATTTGGATCTTGCTTTTTCTCCAGAAGTTCATGGACATCTCCATTTTGTCCCCCAGTAACAACCTTGTGAGATAGGCTGGGCTGAAGAACAGCTGGCTTAGTCATCCAGTGAGCTTCCATTGCTGGATGGACTTGAACCTGGGCCTCCGTGCTAAAATTCTGTTCTTTAACCACTATACCATATTAGCTTCCAGTAAAAGGGTATTTGTTTATAAAATAAACAATTACCCATTTATAAACTAATGAAAAACACAAGTAAAATCACAGTAAAACACATATCAACAAAAATATTTTTACATATTGTATTGTTGGTATGAATTGTTTTAATCAAAGGTTGTTAAAGCAAGCCACAGTGGCCTGGTTTAGACATAATTCTAAGCCATAAACTGTGTTTGCAAATCACGCAAAAGCCAAAGGAAACATTCCAACATGCCTTAGCATGATTTGTGAACCCCACAATTAGCTTAGTGTGATATGAGAATGCAGCCTCTGAAAACATCAGATTTACATCCACAGGCTGAGTCTGGTCTCCTCCCACCTTGGCACTGTAACTGGCAGGCTAAATGTGCACAGTCTAAATATTGACTGAGCATTCAGTCCTGATCTCCCACTTTCTTTCAGAACGGCTGTCTATCTTTTTCACTGCATGATTTTTACAAAATTAAATGCCATTCTTCATTACAACATACACAAACTCGCTTGTTATACATTTGGCAATTCTAAGTCTAGGATAGACCACCTGCATCAGGCCAGGTAGGTTACAATTAGGGTGAGGGCCTGGGAAGCACAGGTTGTGGACTGCTAACTCATGAACTGGTTTTCCCTGTGCTTGAATCTGGAGAGAAAAGTGGATTTGTGCAGAACACAAGGAGTCTATTTCCAGAGTAGCTACACCTCTCCACTGCAGTTTTCTTAGAGAGCTTCCTCCAAACTCAGTTTTCTTAATCTTAAGAACTTTTCAACCAGATGTTAAAAACTTCTCTGCCTGCTGGTCTTGAGATGAAACTGGGGCCATCTTTAGCAGTAGGAGCAGACACAACTTTTTCCTAAGCTTAAGGCTCATTTTATTGAAAAGAATGCATTCCTTGGAGCGGTGTTTCTCAGCCTTGACAACTTTAAAACAGGTGGACTTCAACTCCCAGAATTCCCCAGCTAGCATTCTGGCTGGGGAATTCTGGGAGTTGAAGTTCACCCATCATGAAGTTGCTAAGGTTAAGAAACACTGCCTTAGAGAATTACTTGGTGCTTATCAAGATAATTGCTTGGTCTTTAAGCACATTCTCTCTGTACCCAATGAAGTATAGCAGCTGGTGCAGTAGCAAATAGCTTGGTTAAGTTCATTGGGTAGAAGTTGGAAGTCTCAAACTCCTCCCCCAGAAGCCCTCTAGGTCTTTGCATCCTAGCCCTGCCTCCTGCTTTGGGAAAGCAACATGTGCTTCCTACTGTAGCATCCATCTTCCAGAGGTATCTCACCTGGTGCCCACCCACTTAATCCTGGCATGAGAGAGATAAGACTTTTATATCCCATGCTTCATTTCTGATGATTAAAAAGTAAAAATGAAAAAAAAAATTCCTGAGGCACCAGGAAGCATTGCAAACATCTAGTATTGCAAAATGAGGTCAAGAGTACCATATCTCTGGCTCAGCTGTGAAAGGTTTGGGAGATTCCATTTCTGTTCTTGATTGACGGGAATCAAGTGCCAGACAAAGACACCAAGCCAAGATGTAGTGTGTTTGTTCCTGGCTTAGCATATTACAGATAGATATAATATGAACATAGGCATTGCACTTTGTAAATTACTGTTTTCTATGCAATATTTATGCAAACCCAAACAAAAATGGCTTAATCAATTAACCATATCCTGGTGAAATGTGCAAACCCAGCCAAATGATGGTTAATTATAACTATGAAACAAAGCAATGCTGTGCCATGTTTTTTGGAATAGCTTTTTACTAACATTAGGTAAGATCTCAGGTTAGGCTTCAGACAACATACTAAAGTGTGTTTAATCCAACAGGGAAACAAAACATTCAGATTTTGGAAGGAGGAAGATTTTCAGAGGAGGAAAGAGAAGCATGCCAGCCAAAGGTGAAGCTATGCTTATTCTCATAATTCTATAAATTATAGTTACAGAGAAACAGCCACAATCTTTTTCAAGTTCACAGCACAACTGGTTTTTTATCTATAGGAAAATTTGACTTCTGAATGCCACTAGCATTAAATGAAGTGAAGGATGATTGTTTATACGTGTTTAGGAAGAGTGTTTTGCAGCTGAGTGGCTGGCTGATTTTTCTGTGGGAACTTCTAACAATGAGAGAAAAACATACTGAATTTTAACATGTAGTTAATATCTAGGAACCAGAATACACGATTGACTCTAGATTGAGAGAATTGGTTCATTAGCCCTGACAGCACCTAGGCAACCTAGCTAATCTCAAAAAGCTAAACAGTTGGATGTGGTTAGTGCTTGGATGGAAAACTATCAAGAAATTACAGGGCCCTGGCTCAACTGAGAAGTTAAAAATATCCCAAAGGAAGGCAGCAATGATCCATTTCCATACTGCTGCCAAGATGGATATCTCCATATAGTCAACACAGTTGACCTTGTGTCAATGAAATCGTCACTTTTTAATTAAAATTAGTCTTAATAAATTCCCATTGAAAATGGCTGCATTAAATTCAAAGAAATGTATAACTCTTTCCTGTCCTGAGGTCCCACACTATGCAATGTTACTGTATAAGTTAGGGGTATAGATTTAGCTTACTTGGGCCAGAATGAGATTCCAATCAAAGGGTTGAGAATGGGGCTGGTGGGAATTTGCTAATTGCCAGAAACTGTAATGTTTTGCTGCAGTACTAGCAGAAACAATAAGAATCTATTCAGCAGCTCTGTTGTGGACCTAACTTCTAGATTCCATCTCTGGTTCCCATCTTTCCTGGTCTGGTCTACCTGGTGGGGCTGACATCACCAGCCACTAGGATTTTTATTCTCACAAGTTATGAACTCTAGTCAGAAAGCCTAGCTCGAACCCATGTTCACAAATGGTGACCTCAGTCTTTTAAGGAGTATGGCTATGTTTCTACTATGTCATTTCTAGATTTGAGCCACTTATGACTTCTATTGTCTAAAAATGCCCGGCAAACCATTTTTTTTTACAAATCAAGCAAGTTTTTTTTAAACTAAGTCTGGAAGGCAAGGTTGACTGACACACTGAATAACACAGAAAAGCTGAAACGTGTAATCTTGCCTTCCTCTGTGGTAGATACGATGCATGGCAATAAAGAATCTGTGGTTGGCACATTCATGCCACTTTGGGAGAGAGTCTATAGGCTTTATTCTCTTCTCCACTAGCTCATTCCTATAAATGATGACTACACTACAACCATATGTATATTTTATAAAAGAAATAAGAAAGACGGTGATGCCTTCAAAGAGGATTTTAACAGAGAAAGCAGTTCCTTCTGGAATGTAGGCATTTCTGAATTGATCCCTGGAGGTGACTCAAAACTTTCCAGCGGGAAGAAAATAATTCTTGAAGACTTGGAGGATATTGTGAAGATGCTCTCCTGCGAGTTTCTCAAAGATGCCCATTCATATATTAGCATTTGAAAATAACTTTTAGGCAAAAAGTAATTGTTGATGATCATGTGAA